GTGTGTGTGTGTGTGTGTGTGTGTGTGTGTGTGTGTGTGTGTGTGTGAACACCTCACGTATCTCAGGCTAGGCTTTAACTTGCTATATAGCAAGGCTGACCTTTAACTCCTGATCTTCCTGCCTCCCATTCCCAAGTGCGGAGATTACAGATCTCTATTATGGTTTATGTGTTGTAGCCACCAACTGCCAATAGCACTTTAGCTAGAAGTAGGAGCTCGTGAGCCCCTCCCTCATCCTTGATCTTGTCTGGTCTGAGTTAGTAAGTGCAATGGCCCTGTCCTGACCAGAAGGTAGCATTTCAGTACATCCTCTTCATCCTTCTGCGCCTGCCTGCTTCCCACCTTCTTCCACAGTGCGCCCTGAGCCTTGTAGGGAGGCAGTGATCGAGATGTCCCATTTAGGGCCGAGCATCCAGAGTCACTTATTTTCCTCCATTGACCAGTGATAAATATCTGTATTAGCCACTGCCCACTGCAAAAAGAGACCTCTCTGACTGAAGTTGAAAGCAACACTAATCTGTGGGTGCAAACATGAATAATTTAGGAAGCAGTTTGACAGTGTGACCATTTAGAAAAAACAACAATAGTAGGTCCCCTCTCGGGCCTGTTGCTTCCCCAGTCACAGGCTTTTCACCAAGGTTACAATGGTAGGCATTAATCCTCCTGGGGAGAATGCCTCAGATTTAATCCAGAAGCGGTTGCTTGCCTCCATCATAGTCTCATCATTTTGGATCAGTGGGCACATGTTGCCTGGCGGGTTAATACTGTAGTGTGCAGGGTCTTGCACTGGGTGAGACCATTGCTGTCTTTCTCTGCCAGTGGCCTACAAAGCACCTTCTAGCACCATAAAAACTGACCGTCGGGGAGGATGTTTCCCAGTCAGGCCCAAGTTCACGTCTCCATGTTCTACCGCCAATGTATGTGGTGCTTTACGCAGTAGGGTCGCCAACCCTGAGAAACAGTGGTAGCCTGTGTTACTGGGGGGGGCCTGGCTGGAACCTCCCTGACTGATAACTCACAGGGAGGCATCCTCTACCTGGCACTAGAATATTCACTTAATAATATGTGTCTTCTACACTCATAGGGTACATTCATTCAAACTCCTTTTCTACTGTAATTCTTAAATTATCTTGCAAAGTAGTGCATTTTCAAAACTCTTTTTATACATCCTTCGATTTGGTTAGTCCAGTTCACTCTCCCATCCCCCTCTTAAACCCTTAGCTTCCCAAGTGTCCTTTTTTTTTTTTTTATGTCCCATATATTCTCGTACTCTCTCTGCCCAGTAAATCCTCCCCCCACCACAGTCTTTTCTGGCATCCTAACCTCTATAGGTATGTATGTTAAGTGTATAAATCTAAGACTTTGAAGCTAGGATCCAGATATGAAAAAGAACATGGACATTTGACTTGCTGAGTCTGGGCTCTCTCGGTGTAATATTTTCCAGTTCCATCCACCTTCCTACAGATTTCATAATTTCAATTTTCTTTATACTTGAATAAAATTGTGTGTGTGCATGTGTATGCCACATCTTCTTTATCCATGAATTGCTGGGCATGTAGGTGGAGGCCACTTCCTAGCTGTTGCTAACAGGGCACCAGTGAACATGGATATGCAAGGATCTCTGTAGACAGAAGCGGGTCCTTTGGGTAGATACCCGGAAGCGATGCGGCTAGTTCATGTGTAGCTCTATTTTGGAAAACGTCTGCTCTGTAGACAGAAGCGGGTCCTTTGGGTGGATACCCGGAAGCGATGCGGCTAGTTCATGTGTAGCTCTATTTTGGAAAACGTCTGCTCTGATTTCCACAGCGGCTGCATCAGTGCACACCCCATGTTCCGTATTTGTGATGACCACGAATGACTGCTCTGGCCTGGGCAGTCTTCTTTTTTATGTTTTGATGTCTAGAAGGAGAACTTATTAATCTGTATAAAATTAAATTTACTTATCCAGCAAATATTTACTGAACACCTGGTATTTTTCAGGCACTAACCAGGCTTCCAGGGATACAGAGACAACTGGGAAGAATGGGAATAACAGTCCCAGCCTCTTCACAAGGGTCATAGTTGATGGATACATGAAAATATGTTCTCACCTCTCTCTCTCTCTCTCTCTTTCTCTTTCTCCCTCTCTCTGAATGAATCTTGCCATTTATTTTCATCTAGTCAGGCAAACTTTTTACATAAAGGGCCTGTGGTATTTTAGGCTATGCAGGCTACATATGGTCTCTCACATATTCTTGGTTTGGTTAACATGTGAAAATGTAAAAACTCTTTCTAGCTCACAAACAGTATAAAAACAGACCTTGAGCCAGATTTGAAACAAGCTGTAGTTTATGAACCTCTGGTCTTGAATGTTTTGTTCTGTGGCATGGCTGTTCTGTGATATGTGTGTTAAAGGATTCCAGTGTTACTATGGGGTTTATTTTTGTCTTTCTGGAATCTCATGTGTTAATTGCGTTATTTTCTTTTCTCTGCTTTTTATTGTTGTTTATTTGTTTGTTTATTTTGAGACAGGGTCTCAGGTAACCCAAGCTGGCCTCAAATTCCATTACGTAACCAAAGATGACCTTGACCATCTGATCCTCCTGCCTTTGCCTCCTGAGTGCTGAACTGTGGGTATGTGCCATCATGCCTGGCTCTTACTAATTGTGCTAAAATCATTCCTTTCTTCACAGTAACTTTTTGTGGGTGAGACTTTTTTTGTGCCCAGTTTTGTCCTTTTCCTGTTATTGGTGCACCTGGTCATTATGGCTGCAGCTGTTGTTACCTACCAGAAGCTACAGATTATAGCTTATATGACCAGAGTAAGGAGCTATGTGGCTCTCACCACAGCTGAACAGGTCAGATGCCTGAAACCCAAGTGTGCTCCTGTGCTGAGGGTGTCTCTACTCAGGTGTGAGCCTTGTCTTGAACCACTGTCGGAAGTAAGGCAGAGAGAGGCTGGCCAGGCACATGGGTAGTAAAGAGAGCAGCAATCAGATCAAATTCTTCCCACCACCAGTGTAACCTGGAGCTCCAGAACACATTGGGGCAGTTGTTCAGCAAAACACTTAATTGTGTAGGGCCTGCTTGTCACCATTGTCCTTAGCTTTGACCACTGTCAGTCTTCTAACCTCTTCGCAAAGACTTTTCTGTCTCATATGGGTGCTGGTAGGCCATAGAAGTTTAAAAGGGGTCTTAGACTGTAGTGCTGAGCATTTGTGTTTTCTTAGTGTTTTGTAATTTACCATGGCTGACCCCACCAGCTATGACCTCACTACAGCCGTCACCTCCTGCCCTTGCTCTCAGCCCTTGCCACACAGGTCTCCAGGTCTTCTGGGCCTTGCCTTCAAACCTATTCCTGAGAGCTCATCTCCTTGCATCGGGCACCCTGGTCCACACTGGACTGCCTCTCCTCAGCACCTGCTCACATTTGCCAGAAAGTCTTCACAGCCAGTGTATTGGCATCCCCTGTACCATAGTGTAAAGGGTTTCTCTTATTTTTCATTGGTTCAGTGGAAAATTTATATTTTAGTTGAAATTTATTCTAGTGTTCCATGGGAACATATTTTAGGAATCATTGGCCTTGACTATTCATCTGATTAAAGACAGTTCATGTTCTTTTAGCCTCTTTGATTGGTACCACCATGGCAGAACAAGAGAACAAAAGTACCATGTGAGGCAAAGTTGCTACTGGGAACATAATTCTCAAGCAGAAATATTCTTTATATTTGCAGATGCCAAAAACAAATAAAAACCACTTGGAGTCATCCTTAAACCTCCTCTTTCCCAACAGTCTAATCCATCCATAAATACCATTAGCCATTTGGCCAGAATGCATCTAGAATGGCATTTATCTTTGTCTCCATCACAACCTCCCTGGCCTGAGTCACGTCTCTCTGGTGTGTGTTTTAAAGAAGTAGCCTCTTCTTTAGGGTCTTCCTGACCCTAGCCTCCAGCAATGACAACGGTCCTGTTAAAGCAAGAGTCAGCTCATCTAGTCTCTGTGCAGAACCCTCCAGGGGTGTCTGCCTCATGCAGAGCAGAGACCAGAGTCCTGATAATGCCTTCATGACTCTCTGGATTATTTGGCCCTGTCTCTCCCTCTGACCTCTTCTTTTCCTTTTCTTATCCTTTGCTGCTTCAGCTTCTCAGGACTCCAAGTTTCCCCCATAACTCACTGAGCAGTCTCCATAGTGCAAGAACCCTTGCACTAGTGTGGCCCCTTCTAGGTGTGCTTCTGCTCAGCTTTCTATATCTGTCTTCTTCCTGCATGCCTCTATTCATCCATCCTTACCAGATGACCCTCCCTAACCACCATGTAAACACTGTCATACCCATGTTTTCCTTCCAAGGCCCTCTCTGCCCTCCTTCCTTGTTTCCCTCCATAGCAGGTATTCATCTCCACCACAAATCCACATATATTTTCTATTGTCTGTTATTCCTTAAAGCACCTGGAAGAAAGTTCCTTGGACTGTTTTGCTCAAAGCAGTGCTTCCCTACATAAAACAGAACCTGGACTTGCATGGTGCCTAGGACATAGTTGGACAAATGATGAATCCGTGTTTCTGTGACCTAATAGTAAACACAGGTTGAGTGTCCCGTATTGAAGATACTTGGGACCAGAAGTGTGATTTCAGACTGTTCAGACCTTGGATTAATTACAAAGGTCCCGTTGGTTGAGCCGTACTCAGGAAGGTTTGGACTTGGAACTTCAGGGCTTTTAGGATGTCTGGTTGTTTTGTGCCCAACTAGTATTGTAAAAGGGGAAGCCGAGGAGTTCTAGTCACTTCAGAGTTCACAGAGAACAAGGAAGTTGTTACAAAATTTTTGTCTACAGGAAACTATATTTTAGCAACTTCTGTATACATTTTGTAAACATTTTACCTTTCTTAGTATAAGATACCATTACCTCATGCTACTTGTGACAACTTGAAATACTTCGGGGACTGAATGAGTATCTAAGGCCTATACATCTTGCTTATTTGCTTGTAGATGGAGAGCATCTCAACTCATCAAGACCATACCAGCATCAGACCTTCCCCAGGTCAGGGCAAAGGTTGCAGCCATGGAGATGTTGAAAGGTCAAAGGGCAGATCTTGGGCTCCAGAGGGCCTGGGAAGGCAACTATCTTGCTTCGGTAAGTCCAGAAGAACAGTGTGAATTTATGCAGCTCTGCAAAGAAAGAATGTTTCCCTAAATTTTTACAGAAACAAGAGTAGATGCTTGAGGCCTGGGTTCCAGCCCTAGCACTGTAAAACAAAATCAATACCTTTCAGAGAAACTAGGTAATTTCTCTGAGAGCTGCTAAATTAAAAGATTTTGTTGCTTTTAAATGTACACTACTTGATGAATCATCTGAAAAAGATTGTATCCACATATATTAGCATACTCTATAATGTGGCCCTTGACTACTTTAACCACTTCAGCAGCCTTGATCGGGTCTGTCTACATAACTCTGGCTGTCCTGGAACTCACTATGTAGACCAGACTGGCTTCTGACTCAGAGATCCACCTGCCTATGCCTCCTGAGTGCTGGGATTAAAGATGTGTACTACAACACCAGGTTCAGCAGCCATTTTTAATTACAAATTTTTTTATTATTCTCAAAGCTCCATTTCATCTTCTCTCTTGATGCCCAACTTAGTTTTTACAGGACCTTTGATAAGTTACCACCCTTTACTAGTCTAACATTGGGGTGAGGGGATAAAAGTATGCATGTGACACTCGATAGGTATAGTAACCAATACACCCAGTTGCTTTAGACCTGCAGTCTAAGAACTCTTCTGCTGTCTCCTTGTTCTTTCAGAAGCCAGATACACCCCAGACCTCAGGCACTTTTGTCCCGGTTGCTAATGAACTAAAACGCAAGGACAAATACATGAACATTCTCTTTTCTTGTCATGTCCGAAAGGTAAGTAGCTCTTGAAACAGACTATCCCAGAAGGAGAAGACCGAGAGGAAACAATGATGTGTGGGCCTCAGTGAAAAAGCATGTAGCTAGGGGCAGCACCAGTGAGCATTGCCCAAAGTGCTAAGGATAAACTTCAAAAGCCCGACATGACAACTTCAGAGTTAAGCTAACAAAGCCCACAAAGGAAAAAGGGTAGTCTTGGATAACTTTTTTTTTTTTCATTTATTTTTTGAGACAGGGTCTTACATAGCCAAGGCTGGCCTCCAAATCACTATGTAGCCCAGGGTAGGCTTGAAGCCTTTCCTACTCTCCCTGCCTTTGCCTCCCCAGGGCTGTTTTCAGATGGGTGCCACCATGCCCATCTTTCTGGGTTAAACAGCTTGGCGCTTCCTTCAGGTCAGGGATTTGTATTTTGCTACGTGTATGTCCTTCACAGCAACTACCGGTCTGTTCTTCATCGAGTGGCCATTTACTACCTTCTACACAGGTGTCACTGCTGCTTTAAAAACAAAATTTGAAAAAGATAAAAATAAAAAATAGATTTACAGGAGCTGGAGAGATGGCTTAGCAATTCAAGAACTTGCTGTTCTTCCAGAGAACCTGAGTTGGTTTTCAGTACCTGTCAGGCAGCTCACTGCCATCTGTAATTCCTGCCCCAGGGGCATCTGATGCCTCTGGCTTCCATGGACACCTATACTCACAGACATATAGCATACGCAGACATGCATACATACACATAACTTTAAAATATTTAAAAAATACAGAGAAAAAAATAGAGTAATTATAAGAGAAGCTTATAAAGTAATCCCAATGCAATTCCATATATTAATGATGTCAAAAACAAGACAAAAACATACACACACAAAGAAATGTAGTTTTCCAGCTGTAAGTTTGCCAGATTCTAAAAATTGATAATAAGGAATATTTACAGGGATTTAGGGGAACACTGTTGCTGTTAATTTAATGGTAGCCCTATAATTATTATGGCAGCATATCCAGCCTGCTATCACAATCAATAAAAGACACAGATACCTGATAGATTTTAGAATAGCCTTATCTTACCTGCTGCAAAGTAGATATTAACCTTCCAAACTACCTTTACCTTCCAGCTCCATCCCAGGCTTCCTTCCATCTATAATTCCATAAGTACCTGCTTATTCTTCATCTGGGCTGCTTCCTTCATCCATGCCAGATCCAGCTATGTGTTTCTTTTCCACCATGGCAGCATGCCTCTTCCTTCTTCTTCCTGTACTTGTCTCCTTCCCAAGATCCTCCTGTCCTCAAAGCCCACTCAACATTGGCCACACCTACCCCATTCTGCCCTGCCCAGGTTGAGGCCTTTTAATCAACCAGTCATGGATAATTAGGGAACGTTCCTTCTCATCACATGGTACAACATTAATAACAATGCCCCTGACAGGGCAGTAACCAGATCTCAAGGCACTACGTTTGAATGTATAGCACCAGACCAACCCCCAACAGAACAATGCTGCCTGGAGTATAAGATAGTTCTGTCAAAATCGTAAATGTCTGTACTTGCTTACTCCAAACTTCCACAACTCAGATTTACCTTACAGATACGTTTGTATAGATGTACGTATGAACTTGTAGTGGTAGCTAATAAAAGTTGGTTCAGTAAATTGTGAGTGTACACAATAATACTATAGTAGAGCTGTTTTAAGTGAAAGGAGAAAGGATACAAGTGGGAAGAGAAGGGACAAGAAAAATCGAATGATGGTTTTTAAGATAGAGAGTATCAGCAAGGAAAAGACAAAGATCCCTGAAATACTGGTTGTCTAGTGGTGTTATGCTCTTCACTTTTCCCATTTCCTCTGTGGTCTGAGGGGTGGAATATAGCCGAGCAGTGCTTGGGCAGTCCTCTGCTACTGCTTCAGCCCAGCTCACCTCACATTTTCTTGTATTTCAGGGCCTTCCTGAGTGAGCAGAGGAGCCATGATAGAGCCCGGTGGAGTTCCTAATTGAAGAGGTGGGAAGGACAGAGACAGCCCTCCAAAAGGGAAAGACAAAGAGGAGAGGGAAGGAGGGGAGAGGGAGAAGAGAAGAGAAGAGAAGAGAAGAGAAGAGAAGAGAAGAGAAGAGAA